CCTCTAACTCCTGGCTATTTTTTTTGGTTGCAGCCATCATTGTTGGTTATATCTCAAAACTTTGATAATGATCCCTGTATGTTTGAGTGCACACACAGACATAATTTCCCAGTGTCTTCAAAAATGCCAAGCCATCAGACAAATATAGACAGCAGAATATTGTTACAAATTATAGGAAACCACAGAGAAAACAAAATGCAATAGCCTAAATTGGATCCTGAACCACCACCCTCAAAATCATGTAAAAGAAAACTGATTTTTTCTATTGGCTCTAAGGAACATCAGAAAATTGGCAAAACGTGATTAAGATTGCCAGCTCACAGTACGGTGTCAACATGAACTTCTGATTTTAAATGGTTAAAATAAATAACTATGGTTATTTATCTGAATAACTGTGGCTATTTAAGGTCTTTGCACTTAGGAATAAAGGCATATCTAAAATTTAATCTTAATAAGTCTCTGATACTAAGCATGAATGTCAAAAGAACTTTTCCATCTTGTGAGAAATCTTCTGTTTGTCTTGATTGGCCATATATAATACATGTCACTGAAGATTAATTTGAAATTCTCCACTCAAACATATAATTAAATGAATGGTAAGCTAATGACAGAGTTATCACACCATTCATTTAAAAATCACCCTATAGAGTCAAACATCCTATATATATGAGGATATATAATATGAGTATATCAAGTCACATATATGAGGATCATTCCTAGCAAGGGTAAAAGATGAAATTCTTGAACAGATCTACATCTATACCAGATGCATTTGTACACTGAAGAAATCAGTTGTAATTCTGATGTCAGCCAGGAAGTTTAGGCAAAAATCATAGAATATGAAACAGCCTAACTGTAAAAACATGTGAATTCAAGAATTCAAAGGACTTTTCACTTAATCCATTCCAATAACTATTTTCAGGTGGATTTCTAAAGTGCACTTACATTCATTATTTTATGCTGCACAGAAAGCACTAAAGTCCCTGCATGATAATGAATGGTAGTTTGTTACACAGATGGAAACTTACCTTCTTGTCATCATTCAATTTTCTTAAAGATTTTTTTTTTTTTTTGAGACAGAGCCTCAAGCTATCCCCCTGGGTAGAGTGCCATGGCACCACAGCTCACAGCAACCTCCAACTCCTGGGTTCAAGCGAGTCTCCTGCCTCAGCCTCCCAAGTAGTTGGGACTACAGGTGCCCTCTAACTCCTGGCTATTTTTTTTGGTTGCAGCCGTCATTATTGTTTGGCGGGTCTGGGCTGGATTCGAACCTGCCACCTTAGGTGTATGTGGCTGGCGCCTTAGCCACTTGAGCCACAGGCTCTGAGCCTTAAAGATTATTTTAAATGATGTCACAAAATGAGTACATTAAAAGCAAAAAGAAAGTAAAAACAAAAAGCTCTTGATTTATAATACGCAAACTGTTTACTAAGAAGTGTGATCCTTAACCTCAGGAAAATCATAAAAGAACAAATTAACCACTATTACATACCAACTCCCACTCACCCATCATACTGCCAACAACATACAAGTCTTATACTATGATATGTGTGCAATTCTTCACAACACCTTTTTTCATTACAGGCAATAATTCTAAACAATGAATATGCTAGTCGACATTGAAATAGTTACACAATATGGCATATTAGAGCAGTAAAAATTAGAGTACTAGTTTCAGGCATCAACAAACATTAATTTCAGGACAGATGTTCAGCAAAAGAAGCAAACTATAAAGCACAGCAATGGTTATTTACATAAATGCTGGAAGTGATTATGGAAGCAGCACTGCTTTAGGATATTTGTACTGGCGGATTTAATTCTGAAAACTCTACATTTACATATACATTATACACTTGTATGTATTATTTTCACAATACAAGTGTCAGAATTAAAAAGGTATAAAAAACATACTTTCTCAATTAAAACAAAGATTTATGTATCTGACAGGCACAGATGAAACAGTTTAATTCCTATTAAGAATGTGTTCATTTTGATTAATGTCGAAAACACAAATAAGAGAAGTAACCTATCTTAAATTCTACAGCTCTGGGCAAAAGGAAGCCCAGCCACAACGCTGGCTTCACCTCAGAGCATGCTTTTCTGATAGTGCATCGCTAATATTAGCACCTCTGGCAATGTGTGTAGGCAATTTCCCTGTCTGTCAAGGGTTGCTTGCTTGTTAATTCCTCCTTCAAATTTGTTTTGTTTTTTTTTTTGCCTATTTATTTATTTATTTTTTATTGAATGGTAACTATGTACATTAATGCACTTCTGGGGTACAGTGTGGTGTTTTCACATACAATTTGAAACATTTCATCGAACTGGTTAACATAGCCTTCATGTCATTTACCTAGTTATTGTGCCAAAATGCTCATATTCTACTCTTAGAAAGGTTCACTTGTACCCTTGTAAGATAAACCACAGAAGTGATCCCTCCAGTCCCCCTCCCTCCACCCATTCCCCCCCACTCCTCCCCGTATTCTTAGGCTGTTATTAGGTTATAGCTTTCATATAAAAGGTATTCCAAATTTGCCTTTTCCCTCACACATTTTACTAGAAGCAGTAAGAAGATAATAGGTTGTATTTTCACCACTCCTTGTGGAAATCTCAGCTAAATACACAAGTTCAGCACTTAGAAGTGCTACTTTCCACTTGTAGTACACAAATGAGCTCAGGTTTCTGCCACTAGATGACAAAGATCTGCTTTCCTCCCGCTCCCAATAAAATGTATATCATTTCCTTCTAGGCCTCACTGTCAGAAATTTTCACATCCAGATTTCTACCAAGTCTGCTTGTGACAATCTAGGTATTCTCTAAGACAGTAGAGGTTTTCTCTTCTATGATCCTCACTTTCTTTGAAGCCCTCTCTGACAGAGGCTTTCTCATCCATATTTTAACTAACAATCTGTTTAAGACAATTGAAAAGACAATTTTTTTTTTTTTTT